ATAATAAATTGCTAACTTTCTACCACCTCCAATAATAAAGTGCATCTCTGTCTTTCTTTGAGTATGTTAACACTTGTAGCTGTGCTTCTTTCTGTCTCATCAGAACATATTTGTAATACATATCCAGGCACTATGCAGACTCAATGATATGGATGGGGGTTTTTTTTCCAGTGGAGAAAAATCTTTACCCAAATCCCAAGGTGCAGAACTGAAGCCAAATGGATGTGCACTGAAAAATAATGCTGATAAGTCATGTCAGGGAAATGAGTTAAGTCTCTTTTGTGTCAGACAATCAAGTGAGTTGAGCTCTCCCAAGAAACACATACAACACAAGGAGTATCAGTACTGTAATAAGATGCAGAAAGCCATAGAGAGATGCTGAATAATTTGATTCTTCCTGCGTACATCTGAGTCCTGTAGTACCAGATATCTCCTGACTCAGACAATCTGACTCATTCTGTACTGTGCTTGTGACTTCAATATATTTTCTGCCACAACAATCCTTTCATCTTCCCCCATGTAAATCCAACTCACTTTGTCACAATGGACACATTCAGTATGACAAGATTTTCTGTATCACAGTTCTTTTTGAGCTCTTTTTGCTGATCACCTGCATGTCAAGCCTGAACCACTTCCTTACCTGCCACCCACTGCCTATTCAAAGCATGAGCGCACACACACAAAACACTTACTGAAAAGAAAGGACATAATTCCCACTAATTTCCAGAATCATCACTAACAAAGCAATCCATTGCCGAAAGCCATGTCAATAGATACATCCACCCTGCTAAATGAGAGAGAACTAGGAAGTGACTTTTAGCACTGGGCTGTCCTCACTCTTCACCTGCTGCCTGGCTATCTGGCCCTGTTTTCAGCTGTCCCAGCAGCTTCTCAGAGACAAAGCCTGTACATGGCCTCCTCTAAAGACTGGTCATGGTTTCAGGAGGATGGATAAAAATGCACAAAATTGAGGTCTAAATTCATCTCAGCTGTTTAACAAGCTTGTTATACCTTATTATCCACTTTTCCTCTGCAGACAATAGGAAAAAACGAGCTCCTCCATTTTCTATCTCTTACCTTGTGCTATAGATTAGGACGAATCCCTTTCTGGAGGTTCCTCTTTCCATTATTGACTAAAGTAGGAGCCTGAAAATCTGTGCGGAGTCATTTGTTGGTTTTAATGATTAAAGTTAGCCACTCTTGAAGTGGTCTCTGTCTCTACAGCCTGCGTAGGTTGCCAGCTGCTCCAGGCAGAGGTGCCCTCATCACTATTTTGTACTGTAGTCATGAAATCCACTTACGGTGTGTGTTGATTGAGATCCTGGGGATTTCAGATATCATGCACAGCCATGGAAAAGCTGTGTGTGAAGAGCCTAGATAATTGCAAAATTACTTACAATAAGGCATGGAAAGGCTACTGCAGATCCAGCGATTACTATTGTGCAGCTCACTCCTCCAACCTGGGGGGAGAGAAAATATACAAAATGTAAGTATGCATTTGATGGCATATTGAATGTTACACTGAACACAATTAAAAAAAACAAGGACTCACATTTCACCTGCTGTAGCAAACAAACAAAAAAAAAGCCTTTCAAAGGAGAAAAGAAAAAAATCAAATCTATGATCTATAATTATAGGTCAGTAATTTATAAGGGGAGCAGGACTATATATTTCTAGCAATTGTGATAACATCTTCAGCATTGCATGACTTATTTAACATTTCTGCTTACCAGCTCTGTGCCCTCTTATTTGCATCCCCTTCTTTGCATCCCATCGGGACTGAAATACTTGGTACTGCCAAGTTCTCAAAGATTTAAAACAGCGAGTCTGAACTTCCAATTCAGAAAGCAGCGTGGTTCCATGGGCAGCTCTGAAAGCCTCCAGGAAAGGAATAGGTAAAGCAAGTTCAGACAGGGTGGATAGCAGCCCCCTCACAAAGAGTTTCTAAAGGCTTTTGTACCTACCTTCAGTATCTACAGATTGGAGAAAGGATGAAACCACTGAAACAACAGGAATGCAAATGGAAATTAGAAATGAAAGGCCAGGCTATAATTGCTGAAGGTAAATAGTGGACCTGCTTGCATAGTAAACCAAATACCTCTTCAAGTCCTTCCAAAATAAGATGACTTTCTAAGGGTGTGTACAGTAAGCATTATAGCATTTCCTTGCAAACCCCGAGCCACACTCCGTGCAGGGCTGCTCAGAGATGTCATCTTGAGTCCTGGATGGCAAGTGGACATATCAATGAAGAGTTGTGTCTCAGCTAATCAACAGCATTAATTAGCATGGCACATGATGGCATTAGTACAGCTATATTACTTCCAGTTCCACAACCAGAGCATAAGAATCTGGATGAGAAACCTCCTTGTCTCACCACATAGATAAACATAAAAAAAAGCCTTGGTCTGCATAAATAAAATACTATATTCTGAGATGAGCAAGTATTCAGAGTACAACATCATAACGGCTCATATTTCTTCAAAGTACATCCCTCTGTGAGCATGACCAGTGGTATATTTATCCATTTGCTATACTCTAGATTACCTTCACTGTTCTCTTTTGATAAGTGTGTCCAATTTTCCCTAAAATATAAAATTATTCACCATGTACTGACCTAATATATAGATGTTAATGGCTGCCCTTACGAGAGCTTTGGCAAATACGGAGGCATTTGAATTTACCTCTTGAATGTGTACTTTGCTGCCCTTAATGGATCACAGGAATGTGTTGTAGCACATTACGTTGGCTAAGGGAAAGATTCCACCATGTAAATGTGGTACAAGAGATTCCACAACATGAGGGTATCGTCAGCACCTAAGAAGATAATGGCACACTGTGGCACTTACCATGACAAAAAAAATTCTCTGGGTTAACGTAGCCAAATATTAGACTACATTAATGGAAACATTACATTAATTACATTATAATTACATAAAACTACACAATTCTAAGGCTAGCATGCAGCATATTATCTTCACTCAAGTGTATAACAGCTAGCACCAATGAAGCATGCTTTATAACAAAAAATACCAAAAGCTTTAAAATTACTTTCAAAAGGAAAATCTATTTTTATTTTCTGTCTCAGTTGTAAAAATAAAATATTTCCAGTCATACAGAGCCAGAGCTAGTTTTGATTAGATACACTCTGCTATCCTTATTGAGACAGATATCATAAAGAACACCAAATAAAGCTTCAAGAAATGAACTGAAATATATTTTCCACTCTCCTTGTACTCTCCGTCTGCCACTTAGTGTCATGGCAATATGGTTCTAAGGGTGACCTGTTAGACAAATAGACCTGTTTTTCTTCCAGACTTCTATTCTTACATGTTGTCAGCACCCAAGCCCAAAAGGATCTAAAAGGATTGGGAAGGGAGAACAAGTAGAGATAGACATAGGTGGGCCTGGCACATCCATGCTTTCAAGTAATCTGTTGTGTTTTTACAGCCCATTGCTTTCCTCTCATTGAGATTGTGGTGGGTATGGATGTCCTGTTTTCTTTTTAGTAAATAAATCCATTTTGGTTTCCTTTTCTCTAAGACTGAGTTCAAGCAGAACAGACCTCAAGTTTCCTTTAAAGTTTCTTTAGAGAGGTTAATGTGTAAGAAGAAAAGTGAAGACCAATTTGGTAGCTGCCTTAGAAGTGTTTACTCACTTCAGTTATGATGCAGTGTAGACAGTGGTAGAACTTACTGGGGGCGGAAAAAGGAGAAACAGAAAGAACTGACATATTGAGAGATTACAGAGAAAAAAACACTGCAAGTTAAGCAGAGGTACCGAAAGTGTTTAGTCCTACGCAGATTCTCAAATACTTGTCTCCTACTGTGTTCTGAAACAATCAATCTGGGTGGCAATCGGGCACCCTGCTAGTGATTCCTCTGTTCTTATCTCTTACCCCGATAGCAGATCAAGATCAAATCCAACATTGTTAGAGTGCAAGAAATCTCTTCAAAATGAATCCGAAATGAAGGGAGAAATAGGTCAAAAGATCACACTTGTTGCTTACCAATCCAATAAAATCTTTCAGTCTGCTGTTGGGGATATAAGAAGTTTAAATGGCTTCAAGGAGGGGACTGAGAAAGTACTCAAACTGACAAAAATCCCATAAACTAGCCCTCAGCTTTTGCACCTCCTCAATTCCAAACAGCCAACCCTTTTCTGAATCTCAGAAAATTAAATGTGTACACATGGAAGCTTTTTGGTATAGAGAAATTCAGTAAGGAATCAAGCACTCATAAGGAGCTAAATGATCTATTTTGACACAGCCATCATCCTTGCAGGATACACTTTCTTGGCTCAGAAGTTGTGTTTGCAAAATGGTCATAATTCAGGAAAAAATAAGAGTTTATAAAAATGCATGTAAATCTAGTCCTGGAGGCAATAGATGTGTCTTTGAAATAATAGAGTGTTTAGAAATATTCCCAAAACAAGGCTAGCTAAGAATATGGCATCAGATTCTAGCATACCAGGAAAGTTGGAAAATATTTTGATATCAATAAAAGCAAGTAAAATCCTATGTCAGATTTCAAGCGCGAAATATAGTAGCCTAATTCCACATAACTACAAAAATAGATTGGTTTTCTACTGATCAAACTCTGTTTCCAAGTACTTGCTGCTGTAAAAACCAGAAAATCAGGAGAGATCTGAAAAATAAAATTGTGCCAGATTTGGGGGTGGTGATTTTATTCTGACTCAGAACTGGATATAACATCAATATAATTTTGTAAAAGCTTTTTGGAGTTTTGGGTTTGGTTTTTTTTGTCCGGTTTCCAGCCCTCTGAGAAATACAAACAACTTGCAGCTAGTCTCACATCCTATATTTCAGATTCCCAGCTCTCTAAACCGCACATTTCTGATTCTGTAAATGCATCTGCTACAGGAGTGAGACAAGTAGCTGGAACCTCTCTTCTTACTCTGTAATTTAATGCACTTAGTGAGCCAATGAATATGTGTGAAAGGAGGGGCTTTCTGGCTAAGGGACTCCTTGCAGGGGAACAGCTGTTACAACAGCAAAACCTTAACTGAAGCCAGGCAAACACACTCACTCTCATCTCTCAGTGGTTTTGTTCATCTAGGTCTGGGAAAACAACTCTCCTCCCACTCCTTCATCTCCCTGCAAAAAGTGAGCAAACTAGCCCAGAGAAACTTGAAGAACAGATCTCAGCTGTGAGACATTTCAACAGATCAAGTAATGGCCTGGACCAGTAATATCTCCTGGTTTAATCACCTTGCTCTACATGAAGAACATTTTAGGAGGTACTTAAACAGCACTGAGGATTACTTAGCCTTCCTGTGTGGGCCCAGACGGAGCCACCTGTTCTTACCTATGGCTTTGGTGTACACCCTGATCTTCGTTGTTGGGGTAGTAGGTAACTTCTTAGTTTGCCTGGTAATCCTCAAACACCGAAGCATGAAGACCCCAACCAATTACTACCTCTTCAGTCTTGCCATCTCAGATCTGCTTGTGCTGCTTTTTGGAATGCCACTGGAAGTCTACGAGATGTGGAGCAACTACCCCTTCTTGTTTGGGCCCATCGGCTGCTATTTGAAGACGGCACTCTTTGAGACAGTGTGCTTTGCCTCCATCCTCAGTGTGACCACAGTTAGCGTGGAGAGATACATTGCCATCCTCCATCCGTTCCGTGCCAAGTTGGAAAGCACTCGGAAGCGTGCCCTGAGGACCATCGTGGTGCTTTGGGTTCTCTCTGTCCTCTTCGCCCTCCCCAACACAGGCACCCATGGCATTATGCTGCAGTATTTCCCTAATGGCACCCTGATCCCTGGCTCTGCCACCTGCACTGTAGTCATGCCCATGTGGATCTACAACTGTATTGTCCAGATTACTTCTTTCCTCTTCTATGTGCTGCCTATGGGGGTAATAAGTGTGCTGTACTATCTGATGGGGCTAAGAGTAAGTTCTCTGACTGTGCTCAGTGTTTCCTTAGGTCATTCTTAAGTGTCTGTGTCTGTATGTGTCTTTTAAGTGATTGCAGCTTTTTCTTGCCCACCTGTTTTCCTCCCAGAAAGCAAAAAGTATTTCAAACCTCTGAAAACAGTGGATCCAACTCCCTTTCTGATGTAATCCTGTTCTGAAATTAATACAGCTATGTTGGGGAATAATTTACCCCAATCTTCTTAAAAAAACTTACCATCAACTGCTGCTCACGTTTGCTGTTATTTAAACATCCAAGTAAGTAGCCTGATTCCAACCTCCCAGAGATTTGCACCTTTGCAGTAGGGACTAGAAGAAAATAGACCAAAAGGAAAATATAAAAAGAATAAAAAGGAGCAGGCTAGTGATTGAATCTTGTGTATTATTTGTTTTCTCTCTTCTTGTGACTGTGGAATTTCTATTGCATTACTTTATTTTTCTCCTTCCCCAGAGATGGTGATAATATTCAGCTGCTAAAACTCACAAAGCTGTCATAAATGGAAATGCTACCTTATTGCTGCAACTAGCAAATTCAGCAATGATTTCTTTCTATAGCTATAGTTTCACCATCGATTAAGGCTACCTTAGAGTTCATATTCACTCTCTCTTCAGAAATCGAGACTAGTTTTACCAAGTATTCGTTATCTAAATACACAGATAAAACAATCAGTATCATAGTATTATAAAACTATATAGCAAAACACTGAAATGGACTACTGAACATAGCGACTTGATGGGTTTTTTCTTCTCCTACATTATATATATTTTGAAAATACAAATCCTATCACATTGCACTGAATTTAACCTCCAGTTTAAAAAGCTGTGTCTGATCGTATAGCAAGAAATGGATACAATATGCTAGTAGAGACAAATGAACTTACCAAATACTGTGCAAGAAATTCAAGCAAACCTCTGCTGGTGTATGTATCATTTTGTTGTACTGGCTGATATTTACTGTTATCTGAAACTGTACAGAAGCATTTTTTCCTTACCCAGGAAAGCCACAAGGATTTACAGTCAGAAATCCATAACACCCAGCAATCTTTCAAGCAACGAATGGTTTAAATTATCCCCACTGCCCAGTGGTTCTTGTGGGGTCTTTACAGTTTCACTGAAAATTTTGCAAAATAATACCTGAAGTGAGGAAAAACTGCTGAAAGTATAGCTGCTACAAAAAGAAAAAGAGAAATCCCCAAAATGATAAAAAAAAAGTCTGAAAAACAGCTTCTATCTGTGGCAGCAGATATTCTTAATTCCCATCCCAGAGGAGAAGACAATTACCAGACAACAGCTGCTCCCCCAGGACTTCTGTATTTCACAGCTATGTTCATGCTGTCTCTGAGGCTTTAGAATATGCCTGGAATAGAATGCTGTTGAGACTGGAAGCCACTGAAGGAAAGCTAGGGATTTTAATCAGTATAAGCAGACATTTCTCACTAGATCTGTTTCAAATCAACTGAGCCTCTTACTTAAACAACTACGGCTATGACTAAAAGTTACAAAGGAAATAATGTAAAACATGAGATGCTGAATTGCACTATAATTGAATGTGATTTACATGTGTTTCTCTTTTATGGTTTTTGTGAATACATAGAACACTGAAAGAAGGTCTCATTTGATCATCCTTACAGAGAAGTATCGTGAATCAAAACTCAGGAAGCAAAGTCACAGTGTAAAAGGCAAAAGAAAACGGCACAACTAGCATGTTAAAAGTAACTGAAATCTTTTGCAGTTATGTAAAGTTATGTACAGTTATGCTCCTGCAAGGAGAAGGGAGTTGGACTTGATGATCCTTAACGGTTCCTTCCAACTTGAGATATTCTATGGTTCTATGTTTTCACAAGCTTTTTACAAATCCAGATTGATTTCTACCCTTTCCCTCATTCCTGATATTCTTTCCCAGGTAATTAAAAGTTTTGTTTACAATTTCTCCCAGTTGAAAAAAAACACCACTCCAAATCCGTTGGCTAATCAGAAGCTCCCACTTCAGGAATCTGGGTGCAATTATGCACTCTTCGTTGATGATTTCTTTTATAACCAAAGCAATTGTCCTGATTGTCTAGACCTGATCTTTTCATCACCAAAGCACCAGTAATCTTGCTGTAAGTGTTTTGGGGAAGCATTTCAGAGAGGATCAGATTATTATTCTTTATGTCCATTTTTTAGAAATCCAGGAAAAACTACTAGCAAAGATAACCCACCTTGTTGTAACTGAGCAGTAGGTGGCTGAATCCGTGCATGTCGCACACACCGGCTATCTGCAAGAGAGCATATATAGGCTTTGTTCATTAGAGGCATTGAATATCAATTAGTCTAAACACTCATGGCAAGAAACAAACTCCCTTGAATTCTACAGGAATTTTCCCAGTGATTACAGCTGTGTTTCACTGAGGCCCCTCTGAGTATTTTTTGGATCATTGGTTTGTGCTTAATTGTGGAGAACCCTTTGAGGAAAATAAACAATATTTTGGTGGAAGAGAAAATAATGCCTAGCAAAATATTGTTGAAGCTGAACACAAACTGTGAACCAAATATTAACTCATTGAGAAGGGACAAGTGGGGAAGTGACATACAGATTTGCTGTAAATCTGCAGACTGTTTTGAACCCAAAGCTTCAATGTTTCCCTAAACTAAAACTGAAATTTAAATGTAGATTTTTATATTTTTTTTCTAGTGAAGCCTGAGTTGCCCCATATTATGTGTTCTCAAACTACATCTATCAAAGTTTCAAACAGGTTGTGTCTGGTGGGAATGTCATCTCCTGTCTAAGTTTTCCTTTGATTTACCTCCTTTTGCCAGTTGAAAGGAGACGAATCTTTGGAAGCGGAGGAAATGGCTGTGAATGTTCAGAGACCATCCAGGAAATCGGTTACCAAGATGTTGTGTAAGTAATGAGCCCTTCTGTACTTTATCTACCATGGACAAGAAGGTTACCAGGTCTTGAAAGATATCAAGCAGATTTATCAGATTTAAGAGTTATGAGATGAGTAGCTGTGATTTAAAAAAAAGAAAAAAAGGCTTATTACTGTTTTATCTGGACTTAAAGGGCATGGAAGCAAAACACCATCGCTATCAAAAGACTCAGAAGGCAATTTTCCTCCCCAGCACAAGAAAAGGTTACTCAAACCTATGCAGCAGATGCTTGCATGGTAACTCTCTAATATATTCCTTACTCCAAACCTGGCTCTTGCAGCCCTCTGGCAAAATCCTTCTTTTTCAGAATGCAAATAGTCTACCTTGTGCATTTTTAAAGAAGGTCATACGTCTGTTTTGCATCACACCATGAGCTCTGCTCCTGAACAAGGAAGGTCCTGCCAAGCCACATACATCACCTACTTACTGCTGACTCAACCACTTAGACCTTCCCAAGAAAAAGTAGGACCTCAGCAGACTTGCACATTGTACAGCGTTCAGGAGAATTTGTGCTCCAATCACCCTGAAAGCACTCACATCAATTCCTGATTTAGGTCTTTAAGGAAAAGATCACCTTCCTACTGAGATGGTGTTTATGAAGGAAACATAAACCACCTTCAATATTTCCTGCAACAACACTATTCTTTAGGCAGTTTAAGTCACTGTCTGAACTAGGAAATTCTACTTTGAAGTCAGCCTGATTTTATGTGCTCCGTGACTGGAACCACACTTGTTCATAAGACCCAAGTCTGGAGCAGGTTTGCAAAAGTCCTTACTAGAGTCAGCATGGGCCAAGTTGTGCATGGAGGCAAACTCTTCCTTTCATTATGAGCAGTGCACCCAAACAGACATCGTCAGCACATGGTTCCTATAGGCTTATCCTGCTATATGATGTACAAATAGTGTGGAGAGGAAAATAAATCCAAGGCACAACAGAGTTGGTGAGTCCCAGGTAGCTGGGACGATGAATCCTGATGTCTCACTAGCATTTTCTTCATTAGGCTCTGTTTACAGCATTATGTGGCTGTTGCCAGCTCCGTTTGAATATCATTGTGTGTGCATGCATTGAGTTATCCAACATAGAAATCAGTGGAAACTTTGTTCTTTTAGCTGGCAATAGCAAGACAGAAAGGATGGCAAAAGATTTGAAATTATTAATAAAATTCGTATACATAGTCTTCATCCAGCATTCTGCTCTGTGCAGGCTAGTGAACCATATCCGTCCATAATTGACTTATTTTTCTTCTCCCGTTTTCTCTTGCTAGTTGTCCTCGTGATGGTTTTTGCTATCTGCTGGGCTCCATTCCACATAGATCGACTTTTCTTCAGCTTTGTTGTGGAATGGACTGAGCCTCTGGCTAATATATTCAACTTAATTCATGTGGTGTCAGGTAAAGGTTTCTTCTTCCACTTGCACAGGGGCTGGCAAGAAAACCCCGTCTATATGAGTGGTTCACTTGAAATATGTAGTCATTTATTCTGTAGGTGACATGAGATATGCATGAAAAAGCTTCTGAGGGTTTGGGATAGTGATAAGAATTGTGCCTGAAGTAAAAACCACATGCAAGTTTCTGCAGCTTTCAAGGTCTGGGTGAGTTGTCCAATACAGTTGTCTGAATATTCACAAAGAAATTAAGTCTTCTGTCATTCAGCTGCTTTTAATGAATACACAGCAGCAGGCAACATCCTCCAGAGGGTCTCCGAGGCAAATGGAAAACCTTACCAAATGGCAGACTTACATGCTGCTCAGATCTGGGTGATAAAACCAAATGCTTATGGCCCTGCTAACCATAAAATGAAGGCTTTTTCAAAAAGGAATCTTATTTTCAGTCTGCCACAGGAAAACACTCAATGTGGTCATTAGGCAGCTCAGACAAATCCAGTGTTGTGCAATTGTCCTGGTGTGTTGCAAGAAATGAGTTCCCCTCAGCTGGAAGTTATCCTCCAACAGCTTTGATGGGGGCACCAGCTGTGCAAATGTGCTGTGAGAATAAAGGCTATGCTGGAGGCTGGGCAGTACAGCTCAAGAGCTGGTTTTTGAACAGCTGGAGATAGTAAGCTCCAGCTAATACTCTCTCCAATTCCCTTTTTCCTTTGTGTGCAGTGCTTGTGCTAGCCTTAGGGAGACATCCCTTTGTCATTGCTGTCTCCACCTTTGCAGGCAGGCTCGGTGAAGCAACACAATGAAGAGCTTTCTCTTTTCTGAGATAGTTTCACACACAAATGAGGACTCTCTCTTTCCCCCTTGCTTTGCTTTCCTAGGTGTTTTCTTCTACCTGAGCTCTGCCGTGAACCCCATCATTTACAATCTGTTGTGCCAGCGCTTCAGGATGGCTTTTCTCAGTGTGATTTCTCCTTGCTGCAAGCACTGGACCCCTAAACATCCCACTAGCAAGACTTGTACGCAGCAGAACATCTTTGTGGTTGAGGACCACAATCTCATGGATTCTGCTGAAGACACAAGTCTTCCTGGCACACACAGGACATCTGTCAGCAGTTCTCAGCTCTCTACTGGTCTGTAACTTTCCATTTTGTGATCCAGGTGAGAGAAATTAAAGAAAATTACTTTAAGAAAGAAAAAGAGAAGGGTCTCTCCGTAAAGTCTGATTTCAGCAAGAAGAGTTCACAGTGATGTCTTGTTGAATACATGAATTAGGAGACTGTAATAAGCAGGTGGTTAAGAAGCATTGTATTACCCTCAAGCTAACAGGAGGGCTGGAAATCTGAGTTTACTATCTTCAAGCTATGCCAGCAAAGAGCTGCTTTAGAAAAATGAGACGCATTCCCAATGTTACTGACACAGGAGGGAGACACAGCTTATCCAAGTCTTACTGAATGGCTTTTTGTGCACTAGCCTAAACAGTTTTTATTTAGTTTGAAATGCGGCAACTTGCTGCACAAACCTTGTCCACCCACTCCTAGCTTTAGGCAAGAAAGTCTCACTTCTCTCTCCTACCACCTTCTGTGGCTGTTGCAAGAATCTCTTGGCAACGACCAAGTAGGCATGAACAAGAGCAGCTCTGAGCTGAGCTGAAAAACATCAGGCAACAGCACCAGCAATAGCTATTTCTCGGCTAGAAGAACCAGGGAGCCAATAACTGTAAAATAAATGTAAAGGAAACTTCTGCTTTCTGAGCTAAGTGAAGGTAAGGGGACAGGGGGTGTGATTAAAGCCTTGAATCACTTTGTCAAAAAACCTACCCCATGTCCTGAAGTTTGCAAGAACTTCTTATCATTGCTTGAACTTCAGATACTTATATGTTGTCTCTACCAGTGAAGCCCTACAGTTGTACTTCAGCAGACCTCACACCTGCCCATACCAGGTAGATTGCAGAAGTCAGAGATCTATGTGGGTTTAGCAGCCACCAAGAAAAGACTTGGACAGCATTCACAATAGATGGAAATGAGGCAAACCTTCAGGCTCAGAGAAGCTGATAAAAAGGCGATTAAAAAAAAAAGGAGTTGATATTGCACCTACTGAATTCAGGTTTTGCCACAAAACAGAACATAAGGTCTGAGAAACTGTCCCACATCCCAGTCATGCAAACAGATCCTGAAGGCAGTACACTTACATCCAAGCTGATGAGCTCCTGAGATCTGCTGACTGCAGGGTCAGGACCTTATAGAGTTTTGTAAAGTGAGGCCACAGTGAATCTGTTACATGGCAAAGAATTTTATAAACCTCTGTGTCCCAAGTTCCAAAGCCTTTTTGTTGTGTTTCAGAGAAACACCTCTCTTGTGTATCATAACACAAGGCTAGAGATTTAGCCACCACACTGGGCTCAGGCTTGGCATGCACTGCAGCAGCAAATGATCCTATGTGTGTTGTCAAGTGGTTGGAACTTACACAGTCAGAGTACACAGAGTTTTCATAGCGAGTAAGAACATGAGTTCCTGAAAAATTATATGCTGTATGCACAAAAGCTTATTGCAGTCTAGTCACTGGGGATCCATATAACTTTTCCCACCACAGGAGGAAGCAGTTAAACTACTGCTGCCTCAATGGGTTCTTACCTTGTTTGTCCCAAAGTCTATTCTGCCTCTCGCTGCGGGACTCCTAAGTGAAGTGAGACTTGCCATAGCAGCTGCCGAGTCACCTTTTCCTGCAGCACAAAGGGAATTTTAGCCTATGTTTTCTGTTAAACCCATTTTACCAGCTGCCGTCTTGAGAAGCAAACCACAGAGAGGGTAACAGAGACACACAAAGCCCTGGAGAGAAAAGGCAGTTCCTGCTCCCTGAAGACACAGCTGAAATACTTTGCCACCCCCAAGCGGACACTTGAGTTTTACCAGTGACATTTACTTTTCTAACTAGTTTTATATTATCCCATTTCCCTCCACCAGACATTAAAGTGTGTTTTCCCATTGGATTTGCCATGCCAGGGGTGCTGCCTGTGAGCTGCCCAGGGACAACCTTGGCAGAGACTGGGTGCAAATTCCTCCCTCATCCTGTGCCTCACTTGTGCAACTCCCTAGATGAGCTCAGGGGGTTATGCTCCTTATCCCAGCTGTGTGCACTGCAAGTGTGTCTTCTTCTCCGCTATCTTGGACACCCAGCCAAAGCAGCGAGGAGACAGTATAGTTTGACATACTCACAAATGGACCCACCATATGACAGAGACATTCCTCTGAAAGATTTTGTGGCTCTTTGAATGCATCTTCTGTATTTAGTATTAGACAGCATCTTATGTTGGCACACAGAAAGCCATCCATGGTGATGCTGCTCTCTTCTCCTCCCTTCCTAGGAGAATTGCACCCTTGGCTGTTGTTAAATGCATCTCTTGCCTTGCAGATGAGCACACAGACCTGCAGTCAAGGTTGGGATGTGAAGCTGCAGGGTGAAAATTTTGTCTTACCTTAAACAAAATGGCCACATTTTTATTCCTAGGAAAGACAAAAGGTTTTGTGAGCAAGGCAAAGGGGTGGAGTGCGTAAGTGTGCATGGATGGGAAAATTTTAGAAGAAAAATAGTGAGAAGCAAATGACCAGGAACTCACCTCCAGTTCTGAACTCACTTTGGGGTTTTTTGTCCTAAAACCAGTTTTTATCACATTTAGTCTGTCATAAGTCAAAAGTGATGCTTATAACCAAACATCAAAAGCAAAGCTGAAAACATTTAGTCTTGTGCCAAGTCAAACCTTCTGTGAAAGTGTTCCTGGGGGAGACGTCAAAATTCTTTGAAATTCTGCTAAAATTAAAATAAATGCGGTGAAAAAATGTGGGCTGGCTTGAGGTTGAGTGCTCCAAGTAAAGTTCCCTGTGACAGCACAGCTCAGCACCACCTCGTTCCTGAGGGGGAATCTTTGGAAAGTAGTCAATGCATTTTGTCCCTAAAAAGTAGTTCACGTCCACTGGAGGCGTTTCTTCCCAAAAGGTCAATGCTTGAGTTATTTATCACTCTGTTCTGATATTTACCTGGCTGAATTTTGGAAGCTGGATCCAAATGTAAAAGTACTAGGAAGATAAATAGAGATGTCATGAAAGCTGATGATATTCCTTTATTTATACATTTAGCAGCTTTCATAGCTGAGTGCGGAAAAACGTTGACAACTGGCTGAGAAAAAACTCCTGTTGCAAAAAAACTGGAGAAAACTCCTTTTTCCTCAAGTAGTCCAGTGTGATAAAAATATATTTATTTGAAATCAAGCATGACTTCCTTGACAGAACTGTCTATTGATTTCTCTGCTTCTTTTTCCCTCTGGGAAATATGCAAGTGTGTGAGCAGAAAGTGTGGAGAGCAGGAGCAATGCTCCAGCGCTGCGAACAAAACTGGACAGTTTGAAATGTGTTGCAAGGAAGCACTTAAAGGAGAGAATTGCTTGCAATGCCAATGAGTGATACTCAGATCTAATGCCAGGTTCAATACTGGAAAAAAACATGATGAGAGCAAGTAGACAATTCTGTTAAGTTTATATGAAGAGGTTTTGGATACTACTGTGTTTTGAAGTGTTTAAACCATGGCTTATCTGTTAAAGTAATGTACATTTCAGCTGCAGAGCTGGTTTTATGTATCTGTGTGTGTAACATGACAATAAATATACTAGAGTCTCTCTTCCTATGCATGGTCCATCCACCTATCCTTGTGCTTCTTGTGTTTCTACTGCTGATTTCACATGAGTAGCAGAAGATGGAGATTCCCTGGGTGTTCAGCCAGCATCAGCTTCAGGACACTGAAGACTTACACCACAAATCACAGTGCTGAAAAAAATTGCAGATTATTTCTGCATTTGAGACTGTTTAGCTGGTATATATGCATGAAAATGCACCACTAAACCCAGTGAGGTTTGTTACATCCAAGTGTTCTACATAACTGCTTCTTCAGGGGAGAAGGTTAAAAACTGGGCAGCATGGCTGTCATAGCCAGAAGAAGGTCCCAGAGCAAAAATTGCTGCTTCCCAGGCTGTGTAACAGCCAGGTCTGTTCTCCTTATCTGTTCTTCTACAACTGTTTGTCTCATTTTCCCTGCTGTCCATTATGACATTTGGTAGGATTTTCTCCACTGCGGTTTCTTGTTCCACAAACTAGTGATCTATAGCAAATTGCTGAGCTGTAGCATTTCCATATCAAATGCATATTATAGTAAGGAAAAATATGCTAATGAAACAGAATAATAAGCAGGACTTTTTCTTTCTAGAATAGACTGAGAAGGAATAATGGGAAAAGACAAGAAATCAAACAACCAGGAACTCTTGCAAGGATTAAAAGCTGGGTTTAGAATTTGGTCCAACCTGACCCAATGATGACAAATGTCTTTTAGAGTGAGTTGAGGGATAAAAGAGTTTGCAAAGAAACTCTGCAGCAAGTTGCCCAATTTGGGCCTTGTAGATTTCCCTACCTGGGAAAACAAATGATGTTGTTAGGGTAGATCACATGCCATAAGGGCTCATGCACCAAAAGACAGGGACCATCTTGTGCATGATTCAGGACTGGTTTCTCTGACTTGAAAAAAAGAATTTGCCATATGTCAAATAAGCATGTACCATAATGTAAGAACCTCACCTGGGGAGTCAAGGGTTGCTGGTTCTCTTCCACCTTTCTTCCACTTCACATTTTGCTTTGGCCATACCCCAGACACAGAGGCAGAGAGCCAAGTTCATTTGCCACCAGAAGTGGAAGAATTTCTATTGCTGTCTAGACTTTGTGAAAACCTGAAAAGTTCCAGCTTTGTTTTTTTTAACACAAATAGTCTTAAATCCACTTTATTTTTAAAGGAGGATTAATTTTAGGAGTATGGGAGCTGTTGGAATAATTTGCTTCCCACTAGGATAGCTAATTCACAAGTGAAAAACTGATGTCTTTATTGTAAAAGCCCAAATAACTTTTTATTCATGCATCCTCAGCTTACGCTATGTTGTGAAATGCAGCACAGTTCCTTCCTAGAGGAACAGGCTTTTGTTTGCTTTTTTTTGGCTAGAAGTGGGTTTTCCAAAAGACCCATAGACACAGATGTCTACAACATTAAGATCTCCATCAGAGGAAATCTGGATTACTTTTATAGCCAAAGGAGGAATAAAAAAGCTGTGCTAAAATCAATTTATCTGACCTATTTCTTTCACCTACCTCAGGTGTTTTAGAAGTATTTTTTAAGCACATCTTCTACAGTTGAAAAACAAAGCTAGGCAGCTAGGTACAGGTCACCTTGAAATGCTCTATGTTCTTTGTTGCAGAGCAGATATGTTTGTCAGTCCCT